CTGGTAGGTTCGCCCCACTCCCTGATGTCCTCCTTCCAACGTGGTGTAAGACGTCCGATTGCAGCATTTCGGGAACTACCAATCTCATCAAACGGTCACGATCGTCTCCCGATCTCGGCGTGGGGGTGGTAAAAGAGTAGATCCTGCTCGTCTACTTCGTAGTCGGCCGCGATCTTGCCATACGATCTTGCTTCCGCTTGAGTGAGATCTGCGATCGAGCCACTCAGATACTTCTTCATGCCGGCGATCCAGACTTCTTCCTCTTGGGCTTGCTTGATCCGATCGACCCCGGATCAGATCCTCTTGCATGACACCCGCCTGTGATCTTGCTCGACCAGACCGAGTGGTCACCGCTGCTACTCGCACCAATGGGTTCTCGGTCTTGGGAATCAAGATTTCGTCTAACCGGTTCAGGGTGACCAGATCCTGGTACCCGGGCATCTCCTGGACCTCGATCCCCCCTTGTCGTTGCCAAGCGGCGCTCGCTAGACTGTCGGCACTTCCGTTCCAGTTCCTCTTGACGTGAACCAACTCATGATCACTCCCTTCTCTCAAGCGATCGAGGGCTTTCCGTTTCAATAGCGTCAGTCCGGGTGTTTTGCAGTCGATCTCACCACGTACTTGTCGGATCACTACGTTGGAATCCCCGCAGACCACCAGACGTCTGCGATCTAAGCTCTCTAGCATGTCGAGCCCCAGGATCAGGCCGTTATATTCGGCTTCGTTCACGGTGAGGCTCTCGAGATAGCCTGATCTGGCCTTGACCACCTCCCACTCCACACGATCGCGCTGAACGTGCCTCCATCACGATTAACTCGAGCAGATCCGTCAAAGCTGATCACCCATAGTTCCTCGTCTCGATCTACAGTGGGTATCGGCGATTGGATCCGGCGTTTAGGTTCTTTCCGGGGAGCGATTTCGATCAGAGCGTCGTCGATCTTCGATCTCGGGGTGATGCTAGCAGCGCTCGTCCCCAGTATCTCGTCCTCACCCTTTGTGCACTTCGTGATCTCGAGTGTCCATGGGGCCAGGAGGGCAGACCATTGCCCCAGGCGACCTTGTAATCCCGTCGACTTGAACAGCCAGGCTAACGTAGAATGCCTCGTCAGGAGACCCGGATCTCGCGTCCTACTAGCAGATTGTAGTAAAGATCCAAGATCGTCAGCAATGGAAACCTCCTTTTTGGTGACATTGTAATTCAACTCGTTCGTCTTCAAGGTGCGGCTGGCGAATGCAACCGGATAGTAGATCCCGTCGTGTTCTTGTGTCAACGAAGCGGATATCGCCAAATCGCCGGCATATACAATGCTTACCGGTGTTCTCGTCTCGTTGAAGTGACGGAGAATTAGGGTGGTAGCGATCTTGGTTTTCAGGGTGGTGAAGGCCTTATGTGCCCTGATCCACTCTCACCCACTGTTCCCGTCAACTGCGGTTCCGGTGGGTCGTGACCTCGAAGAATCAGGTCGTTCCTGTCCATGATCTCCCTCAGATCCGATCGCTTCTCCAGTTCTGTAAACTCCACCTCGCGTAATTCATAGAGCACCGAAGCATAGATAGCGTAATCTTCAATGAATCGGCTGTAGTAATTCAGACTACCCAGGAACGACAGCATAGAGCGAAGTGATCCGGGGAACGGTAGATCGGTTAGGGATTTCAGATCTTTCGGACTCGCCTCCAACCCTCCGATCGACACTCGGTGTCCCGGATATCCTACCTTATCCATGCCCCAAAAGCCCTTGGCTACACTGATCCACAAATCCCACTTATCACAAGCTTTCAACAGATCCTCCACTCTCCGGCACATTTGATCCCACGATTCCGCTGCGATCATGATATCGTCGATGTATGATCTCCCACCCCAACACTGACTCGCGATCAGGATCGTCCGCGATGCCTGTCTGGAACACGTCCGTTGTAGCCCCAGCGTCGCCGGATCGCGAGATCTTCAAAACCCCATACAGCGCGTTGTCTACGAGACGTTGATAAATCTGCGGTGCGTTCTTTAGGCCAAAAGGCATGCGACGTCATTGGAATAATCCAAACGGGGTGATAAATCCTGAGATCTCGCGAGCCCGATCCCTCATGGGCACGACCCAGAAGCCGCTGGCCATATCCAGCGAACAGTACCATAGTGCTTTATCAAGATCTTCTAGCAGATCGCTGATCAGGGGCATAGGGTAGACCATCAATGTTGTGAGGCTGTTTACCCACTTGTAGTCAATACACAACCTGAATCCACACCGTTAATTTTGCGAACTATCCCGATCGGTGAGGCCCATGGCGATGTCGAGGGTCGGAAGATCTCGGCTGCCAGGAGGCCCTTGATCAGGCCTGCGACCTTTTCGTGGAATCGCGTGGGCACTTTCCGGGTTCGCGGTGCGATCGGCTTCGCGTTTCCAACATCGATATCGCATACGACGCCCTTGGCCGCCGGGGGTAAGGCGTTCCCTTTGCCGATCAGCAGATGTCGCTTCTTCCAGATTATCTGCCGAAGCCTCTTGATCTCCTCGGGTGTGGCCGATCCGGAGTCTCCTACCTGTGGATCCTCAATGCTCACCTTCGCAGTCGTCAAGATCAGGATTTCGGGGAGGACAGCGAGATTTCCTTCAAGATTTTCCGCTGAGAGGTCACCACTGTCATGGTAGTATACCTCCTCATCGTCCTCGGCATCCTGTGGGGTGGGTCGCTGTAGCTCCTTCTGCCGGCTGATCTCGTTGTTCGACGCCCTCAGTCGGCCAGATCAGTAGTTTTGCGTCGGGTTCTTCGCCGGGATCGAGTTTAATCTGGGCTTGATCGAGTTGGATCTGGGTTTGATTTTCCGTTTTCGGCTCGATATCCTTGGTGCCAGTCTGATTCTTCGTCTTAATATCCTTGGTGTCCGTCCGATCGGTGGCCTTGTCCGGCATGCTCTCACTTATCCCGCCGCCCTCAGTATCGCCGCTCAGGTATCGATCGGCATCAGGGCTAGTCGTTGGCGTAGATGGGCGTCCTCTTTCCGGATCGGGGAATTCTGCCTCGATCTGAGTTGCGTCGGCCATTCCCGCCCCCGGTCGGGATTTTAGGGTCGATATCAATGTTCGATCTCTGCCAATCTCATCGGATCCCGGCCGGCGAAGTATCGATTGTGGTGTGGGATACGGTGGTCGTAACTTCCGGCTCCGCTAGGTCCTCGATAAGTTCAGGGGGTCCGATCTAGTATCTACCGTCGATTCCAGTGCTAGATTCTGCCATTCCCGATAGCGACGTGACCCGACGAACACAAACCCTGGGGATCGAGGTACTTTGTCCTGATCCAGTATCATACCAACGTCCAGACGGTGGTTCAGCCGTAGGATCCTATCTCCGATATTCGAGATCACCAGGTAGCGGATCCGACAGGGACCTTCCGTAACTGTCGGTATCCATCGTTCTCCTCTGGTAACCCACAACTTTTCTGTAGCAGACAATTTTACACATCTGTTTCTTCCAACCGACCGACCAGGATTCGTAGAGATCGTTCGAGAATGACCGATCGCACCTTCTCGCCATATAATCTCTAACGACCATTAAGCGGTATTCCCACTTCGTCAGGTAACCGCACCTATCCGTCGGCGAGGTCCATCTGTACACCGGCTGGGACCATAAAATCCATGCCCAGGATCGCGTTCTGCCCTGAGAGATCTCCGATCCAGATGTCGAAAAAATATACCAGACATCCCGCTAGAGTGATCTTGATCTTGGTTCTTCCTTCCGTAGTATATGCGTTATCACCAATGCCCACACACTCTTGTCTCTGACTAGTGACAAAATTGCACCCCACCTTACGAGCAAAGGTGGTGTCCAAGATTGATATCTCAGCTCCAGTGTCTAGGAGGAGGATCGCTCTGCCATGATTGATCCTTCCTGAGATCTTGGCTTGTCGGAACTATTTTCCCGGGGAATAACGTTTCCAATAGCCCCGGGACTCTCCTCTTTTGAGATCTAAGGCAACCTCCACATTAGATCTGCTGAATTTGCTGATCTGGGGGAGACTCGCGATCTTGGCGGTGTACGAATGCAAATTACATGTATTACCGCGTAGCTCCGATTTCTTCCTATCTCGATCTGCCGTCGCCTTGTTCACATAGGCGTAGATGCAATATCTAGATCGCTCGGCTCGTACCGGATTCCACCCCGGCGAGCGTCCTAGTTTAACATCTTCTCGACTTGTTCGGAGAACAGCCCGGCGTGTCGAGTCGGATCGTACCATTTGCGGATCTGATTGTAGAATTCCTCCATGGGGCATTCTCCTGCTTCATGGATGTCTCCGCATCCACGACATGGATATAGACAGCGATCCGTAGGGTGACCTCTTTTCCCACACTTTTCACATATCAGACGCTTCCACCAGTCCAGAAGGGTGTGTTTCCTGGACCCACAATGGGAACAGCGCTCTCGATCTTGGTGATCTCTGTCTCCTGGGCTGCGGCGAACCGAGATCCGGGATCCCTCAGAGGCTTTCGTTCGGGAACGTGCCGGATCTGGATTCTGCGAAGCGCCCCCAGTGCTGATCAACTTCTCTTCCGCTGCTGCGAGGAAGATCCTTCGCTGGTCACCTTCCGAGTCGGATCCGTCTGATCCTGACACTCCTTCTGACTCGGAACTCGGATCATGCGTTTGGATCGCGCGTACCGCTGCACGGGCTGGTGCGACCGGGGCGCTGGCCGGGACTTTTTGTCGAAATTTCGACCCGAACGCAGGTCGGCGTTGTCTACTCTTAGCTCGTTCCCGCGCACCGAGAACTTCCTCCAGTTCGTCGACGTCAGCCAGTCGTAACAGTGTTAGGCGATCTGCCAATTC